ATTTTATGTCCAATTTGAAGCTAGAGAACAAGAAGGGGACAGAACTTGAGAAGAAGCTATCTGCCACTCTCCTACGGCTGTGGTAATCGTGTGTGTGGAATGGGATCTGTGTAATACCTGTAGCTTGATTAACACACTTATTTCTGGAGCTGCAGTGACATGCTGTTCATTGCCTTTCTTTCAGTTGCTGAGGAGTAGTTGATTTTCTAAAGCATTTAGGAGACTTTAGAGACAGTGAGTAACGTGAGAGATCTGTCCCATACTTGGTTTAATGCTGATTGTTGTACATTCCCTTTTAGATTGGGATACACACAATGTAAAAGGATACTTTGCCTTTATGAGCTTGCATTTTTGTCATATCTTTTAAGCAATTTGAGTATTGTAATTTGATACCTAACTATTAGACTTGAATTACCTTTTTCTGCTCTACTAATTACTAACATGCCAATATTACACCTTGAGCTTCTTCTAAGGTACAGAAGAAAGGTTGCATGGGCCTTCTTTGCAAGGAAAATTAACATATCTTGGTAGAGATGTGGGATTAAGCGCCCATGAATTTATTTGAAATTCATGTTACTCGAGTCTCTTGCATTTGTGTTTGCATATCCTGGTTCTCAGTACCCAGTCTGTGATCATTCACACTGCTATATCTTAGTGTCCTCTTTTGATTGTTCTTGTACTTATTTCTCAAATAGTGTTTTTCATTTTCACAGTTGCAATCTGTTTCTGTCTGTCTGTCTGTCTCGGTCTGTCTGTGTCTGTCTGTGTCTGTCGGTGTCTGTTTGTCTGTCTGTGTCCGTCTGTCTGTCTGTGTCTCTCTGTCTGTCTGTCTGTGTCCGTCTGTCTGTCTGTGTCTCTCTGTCCGTCTGTCTGTCTCTGTCTCTCTGTCTGTCTGTCTGTCTGTGTCTCTCTGTCCGTGTCTGTGTCTCTGTCCGTCTGTCTGTCTGTGTCTCTCTGTCCGTCTGTCTGTCTGTCTGTCTCTCTGTCCGTCTGTCTGTCTGTCTGTCTCTCTGTCCGTCTGTCTGTCTGTCTGTCTCTCTGTCTGTCTGTCTGTCTCTGTCTCTCTGTCCGTCTCTCCTCTCTCTCTCTCTCTCTCTCTCTCTCTCTCTCTCTCTCTCTCTCTCTCTCTCTCTCTCTCTCTCTCTCTCTCTCTCTCTCTCTCTCTCTCTCCCTCTCTCTCTCTCTCTCTCTCCCTCTCTCCCTCTCTCCCTCTCTCCCTCCCTCCCTCCCTCCCTCCCTTCCCTCCCTCCCTCCCTCCCTCCTCCCTCCTCCTCCCTCCCTCTCCTTCCCTCCTCCCTCTCTCCCCCTCCCTCCCTCCCTCCTCCCTCCCTCCCTCCCTCCCTCCTCCCTCCTCCCTCCCTCCTCCCTCCCTCCCTCCCTCCCCCCATTTTTTCTCTCTTGCACTTGCTCTCATACACTCATTCGCTCCCACACACGTACTTTTACTCACTCTTACCTACCCTCTCTCCAACCATGCCTTGCTCCCACTCTCTTTCTCTCTCTTTTGTAATTATATTTACTTTTTTTTCTTCTTTGTCTTCCTCCTCCTTGATCACATATGAAAATGACTTGGAATTGAAGGATTAAAACAGGAATGCATGTTTTTATGGATTAGAAATCATTGAAAATGAAATGATTATAGAAAATCTGGTGATTCTTGATTGAGATTTAAAGCCATTGTATCCTGGGTTGGTTAATATAATTGCATAATTATGATTCTGGGAGGGTGCACATGAGCTTTCAGAGTTATGTTTGTGGATACCCTTTTTATATATGTACATTGTATTCACTGCTTTACTTTTCGTTTCTGACCCATACCACTGATTATTTTGCTTATTGGAAAGAAAAGATTTATTTCCCAGTTACAATTATATACTGCTTGGTGTGCTGAACTACCTACTTTGTAGCAAAGTTATTTTTACTACCAAAAGTTGGTATGATAACTTTGTGTATTTTCTTTGCACTTGTAATGGATTAGAAGCTAATTAAGCATGTAAACCTTGAAAGGTAATGTTACCTTTGTAGTGCTCAAGCTCTTGAAGTGCTTCATGGATTGCAGAATAAAGTTGTTCACTCAAAAACAACTATATGATTGGCACTAATATTATTGATTGTCTTGACTCTTTGAAAACTACACTGAAGTCAAGGAGGGATTTATGCACATGAGTTCATTTTATGCTCAACTCTGAAGCAATCTTTAGGTAGCTGTAAATGAGAGTAGAGAGAATGGGTTATATTCTGTATATTGTTTTTACTTATCATGTTGCTGGTTTATACAGGATAAATAGATTACAGACAATTAGAGTAATTGATATGGATTATAGGTTGAACAAAAGATTTGCTTTTTTCATTTGTTTAAACAAATGATTATCTCAAATGAAATTTATCATCTCACATAAAAAAAGAATACAGTACATAAGTGCCTTGTAGCTTTTAAGTAACCATCTACCACATGCAGCAAGTGTAGCTAATGAAATGAAATTAATTTGTGTATGTTATAGTACATTACAAAATCCCTTTGTTTTACCTTTCAGGAATGTCACAGAATGCCTCTCCTAGTCATGGCCAGTACTGAGCAAGGGTCAAGTTATAATAGAATGAATTTGCAGAACCAGTGGGATTTGTCCCCTCCGGAGATCTTGTTCTCCAATGTCCTAGATCCTCCTGTCTGCTGTGACTGCGGAAAGATATCATGATGTGTGTTTCGATTATCCCAGTGCGAGGCCTAGAAGGACAACTTCATTTGCAATACATTATGTAAACCTTGAGTATCCAGTGGCCGAGGTAGCGTTCGACTCAACCAAGATTTTTTGAAGGAATGTAGTGGATTTTAATTTAATTTTTTTTTGTTTTTTGTTTTTTGAGAAAATACCCTTTTAGTCATTTTGTTTGTTTCAGGCTCATTTGTGTAACTGATTGAATGATTAGAGATTTATCCATTTTGATTTACATTTACTTTTTTTTCTTTCTTTTTTTGTATTCTGTTTTGTATTTAAATCAGTATTTTATCTTGTCTCTTACAACTTTGAATTCTCTGTATCTAGACAAAAGCAATTTGTGAAGATACCTGTGTTCTAACACCACTTCTTTGGTATTACATTCCAATAGTGTTCATTGACTTCAAAAAATAATGGGAGTGCAGTTGTCAGAAGACAATATCTTATCAAGGCATTTTTAACTATTTTAACCTTTCAAATGGACACTTATTCGTCCCATCAAAGAGGAGATGCTATATGTATGTATCTCAAGCATCCATGAAAGGACTTGATTCCTTCAGAGTTTTTTCCTCAATGTCCTTCAGTATCAAGAGAAATACTGTGTTGTTCTAGTGCCTCTATTAAAAGGACATTAGTAGAAAAAAGAATTATAATTTTCTTGTAATTTTTCATTTACTTTTCTTTCTTGCATCTCTTATTTATTTTTGTACTGATAGCTTGCAGAATACATACTTAACAGTGCCAATGATTTTTTTGTTTGCCCTATTACTCTATTTGTATTTGGTATCCAGAAACATGCAACACCAGTTGTATTTAGTAGTTTTATTTATTTAGTTCTTACCGGTAAGTCAACCTATTTACTATATGTGATATCCAAAGGTGTAGATGTGCATTATTTGATTTGTATATCATTTTGTGTCATATTAGCTTCCTTTACAAACATTAATACTGCTTGTATTTATTTGGATTTTTTTCTGTGTTTTCTGTATAGTAAAGAAAAATTGGCTTTCTCTGTGTTTAGAATCCATGGTTAGATGAAGATGTAAATAATGGTGTTTGTTAAAATATGATATACACATCTTGGTACTATATGCACCTTGATTCCCATGTATTTGATTATGTCCGAGGCTGCAATAATTTGAAGGGAAGCTTTAATTAACTATTGATAATACAAAATATGACCTCCACAGTGCTGTATATTAATTCAAACATGTTGCTTATCAAATATCGAAAACTAGTCAGAGTATGTTGTACTTCTTCTGTTTCATAAGGACTTCAAAGCATTGACTATCATCTGTTTCACTGTCTCTTGTGTATCATACTTTGTTAGTTAAGTTAATGGGAAAGATTTCAGTGGATATAAAAAGAGCTATATTATGACAATGATTTACTGTAACTGCACCGAATAGTCAGTTTCCTTGTGCATCTTTACTGTGTTTGTGATTTGCATGTCTGTGTACAACTTCAGAACTGGTTATAAAAGGTATTTTCTGCGTCTCCTTGATAACCCCACGGGTCTAGGAAGAACTTGTTAGGTGCCTGGGCTTTTGGTATGGGAAGGAGTTTTGGCTTTCTTATTGGTATTCATGGACTCCTTTTCTTTCATACCTCGCTGGGTACGAAAATTCTTTTGAATGAACCGTGGTGTACGATTTATCAGACTCCTCCTGTAGATAATATCCTTTACTTGTATTTCTAGAACTGGGATATCTTTAATACTAGAAAGAATACAGTACATCATTGTAGAAAATGTTTAGAGGATTCATTTCATAAGTACTGTAGCATCATTGCCATTATGATCATTGTTGATATATATAATTGTTATGGTCGGGAAAATAGAATTTGGGAAGTAGTGTACGGCAGTTATAAAGAGAACTTATTCTGTGCACAGTTGTCCATAGAATTAGTGGGAAGAATTATATATAGAGGAAAATATCTTCATTCGAGTTGCATGTGAAACATTCCAGTTGTATGCAAAAATGAGCGAGGTGACATTTGAAAAAAAGTGAAAAACAGTGAGTAGTGTTACATGATATTGCATGAAAGCATCTTTTGTTTTCTTTTCTTTTTACTGTTAGTGTCTTTCAGAACTTAGATCAGAATACTGAAATACACTGTTTGCCTTCATTGTCTTTTAAATGCTTTCTGCATAGCTCATCAAGTCATCAAGTTTGGTTATACCAGTTATATATTTAAATTTCAACTATGCTCCTCCTGCTGCTTTCTCTTCCCCTTCTCCCCTTCCTCTTCTATTTTCCTTGTTCCTTTTCTTTTATTTCCTCCTCCTATTACTCCTTATCTCCTTGTGACATTTTCCTCAGCAGGAAGTAGCAGAGTAGGAAATTTGAAAGTTAATTGTGGAAGTAAAGTATGTTCAGTTGATAAACTTAATTGTCATGCAAACTGGATTAAATGGAAAGTTGATTTAATATGATTATCTCTTTAATGCTTTATTTAGAAATTATAGTAAGACATTGCCAGCCAGTGTAGAAGTCTATAAATTTCATCATTTTAGGAATATTAACAGTGTATGTTGGGGATTGGAGTGTACTTGGTGTTTGCAAGGGACATGAACAACTAGTGTTTGAAGAATATATGTATGTCTATGTGTAAAGCATAATGATGAGTCTAGATCTAATTAAACACTAAAAAAAGAAATAAAAAACTACTTGCATTTTCTGTAAGCTTTGAACTCATATACATTTATATATATACATATCTACACACGATGAAAAGTCACAAGTACACACAGTACTCTTATTATTTCCATCTAAACACTGCACATTTTTTGTGTGATTTTAATAACTTTGCTCTAAGTTCAGACTACATGTATAAAGAGTATCCAGATTTTGATTTTGTAATATATATAAGCTGTTAGATATAAATTAGCTGCGAGAGAGAATCCCACCCATTCATTCAGGTTGTCCCAAGGGTCCTTAGTTTTTGTTAACTTGTCCATCATCGCTGCCTCAGAACATGGTTTGATACCTGAGGAACCCTTTCAAGGAACCTTTTCGTGTGGGGAAAACCATCATTGTATCGGCAGTGTTATATTTCTCCTCCATCCAGTAGAAGCACAAGAGATCATCAAAATGACATACTTAATAACTTGAGATCTTTTCTTTTTTATATATGCATATATTCTCCTCTTGTTTATCTTTTCTTCAAGGTCTTATTCTCGTTCTTCCATTTTAACATGGCATTAAATAAAATAAAAAAAATCTCCCCCTCTATACATGATGCTGCAGTTTTTCAATGATATTCTGTCTGCAGTTAATGCACCTTGTTCTATGTGTCATGAGGATGATGGGTAGAATTATGCTAATGGTATCGTGTATATATTATAAGTAAAAGTTCCATAATTCAGTGTGTATATATAGTGTCCAAATTTTACATTCAAGCTTTCTGCAATATAGTAATCATCACGGTTGAATGAAGGTAACGCATGCTGTTCTATTTTCTCCTCTGGAAGCACGATTATATATCATCATCTTAAGAAAACTTTAAATCCAATCTCAAGAGCAATTGCAAATCAAATGTAAGCATTGTTCTCTGCCGTCATCCTCACTTTGTGTCTTACGACTTTACTGGAGAACTAACTATGAGGTGTCGTCAGTCTGTAGGCCTTGTATATAAGATGAAAGTTACTGTTGATTATGAAGATGATACCCAATATGCATGTAACGAAACTGTAGAGAGAATATAAAAGTCCCACCATTTCAGTACTGTGGTTTTATTACATAATTCCTGGTTTGAAAGATTAGATTCAACCAAAAATTGGCATTATTACTATTTTTATCTAGTAGTAATGGGATTAATATTAGGCTGGCAAATAACAAAGAATAATACGATAATTGTGTATCCAGCAAGACCATGTATAGGTGACCCCAAGGGAAGGGGGGGGGAAGGGCTTTCAAAGAGATCGCAAAGAACTCTAAACATAAAGCCAAGCAGAAGCTACTATTTCTGTCCTCTGACGTATATATGGCCTGGGGAGAAGCCGAAATTTTGACTAAGCTAATTTATCCCAAAGTCGTACCCTTTCCCTTCTTTTTCACGTACTGTCTGTCATTGATGGGTCGAGTTTATAAATCAATAGGCCCACTTTCTAATAGTTCCCTACATTTACAAGTTATCTCTTAATCAAGGTTATCTAATGTTGATTAAGGTTATAGACATTACGTCCTATGAATTGATGTTAACAAATGGTATAGTAATTTGTCGAGTATATAAATCAATAGACCTACCTTCCATTAGTTTCCTATATTTGTTTTTCCACAAGTTATCGCATAATCAAGATTCTCTTGAGATGTCAGCAAAGGAATACCCGTTGTAACAAATGGAATTAAAACTAAAACTAAACTAAAATCTGTAATTAAACAATGTTATAGACATTACGTCCACTGAATTCATGTTTCCAAATCGTATGTTAGTGAAGTAAGCTTTCAAGCTAGAAAACAAGTACAGGAAGCTTATTACGCTGAACAATTATATTGCCGTAAGTTGGTTTAAATGTTTGCTGAATTCTCTACTAAATTTCAGTATCTTAGATCTTAATATCCTTTTGGCTTCAGAATGGTATTTGGTCTGGCTTGTCGACTGGATCCAGAGTTAGGAGGAGAGGGACACCTAAAGGACTGTCAATCAACCCCAAGGGAAAGTTAAATTAAATGTGGTCTTGAATTCTGTAATATTTACGTATGTTTCCTCCTGAATTGATATACGTTTGGTCCGAACGTTAGCATTAGGCCACAGCATTTTTTTTCTTGAATAGCAGGCCCGC